ACAGGATGAATGCAAGAGCTGGTTAGGCAAGAAACCATGTGTATCAAATTAACTGCATGGATGAAATTATGATCTTTAACTGGGGAAGAAAATTAACCCACAATACCCAGAACTTTGCAAATCAACTTGTAGCACTGCAGATGGTCTCCATGAAAGACTTGGCTATAAGCAGTCACAAATGCTCGCAACTTTGGTTTTGGTCCAAAAATTTGTGTCTCTTCCCAGATCCTATATTAAACTGAAAAGTTTTAGAGTAAAACATGGTCATCTTTTTGTGTTCCAGTCAAAAGCTGAATAGATATAACCTCATTAAACCTGGTATCACTGGGAACTTTAAGTCTGTTGGGATTTATGCAAAGGAAGATGCTAAGTTTCACCAGGTTCAGTGCAGGAGTGATTCCTTCATTTTTCTGTCTGTGGTACCTACTGGCTTTTGCATAGCCAAATACTTTATGGAGTTTTGGAATAAAAAAAAAATTGGGTAAAAATAAAGTTCTGGTCTTAAAAACAAACAAAAAACCAAACAAGGTTCAAACCACGACAACACTCAAACAAACAAACAAAACCTCAAAAATCCACACATCAGTTCTTAAAAAACATCTAAAAAATAGATGTAGCTCAGGGCTGAGGCTGCCATTATGTTTGCCTGAGCATGAACATTAAGTGTTAAGCGCAGCTATTAATGCACACACAGAGAATATTCAAAACCCTCCCCAACCCAAAACAAGAAATTGAACACTGTTCTCCCTTGTCACATGGAAAGGGGCAGAAATGCAAAGATTTCCCACCTGTATTAATGAATTTTTTATTGGCTATCAGTGTCCCCAGAATATCAAAGCCTTTTAAAGCCCAAAACAGTCTGTCTGTGCCTCACCTAAAGACACACTTTGCTAGACAGATTCACTGCGATGGACAGGACTTTTGATACCCTGATATGGGGGCAGCACTTAATAGCAATGGAGAACCTTCTCAGCAAAAGTTCTCCTACAAGTTACGAGGCTGCCAGCACCAGAAACAAAATGGATTTACTCTAGCAGCTCACAAAATAACTTTTATTAATACAAGTATGTGACAAACTACTGTTGGGTTTGCATCACTGGTGATAACATTTAACTGCACGATGGCATTTAACTAATAAAAAAACAGAAACCAGAAGCACGCTCTACAAAACAACACAACTGCCTAAGCCTTAATACAAAACTCAAGCAACCCCCCCACGACAGACCAATTTACAGAGACTAGAACAAAATCTAAACACACTTGTTAACACAAAGCAAAAAAGAAAATATAGCCACTTCCTACTAACACACATTTCAACTCACTAAGATAAGGAAATGTACACCTTAGAGCAAACCACAAACAACAAGTCGGCAATAAAGTACAATACAGGACAACAAAACAATAAAAAGAACATAAAGTAAGATATGTACCCTGTAAGTTAGAAGGTGTAGGGCAAGGTAAAATTAGTATCTATAAAGCAAAGTAGCAAAGTACAATTAGCAAATAAAGTATCTATGGGGTAACGGTAAAAGACAGTGATCTATAGGGTATAAGGCAAGGTCAAGCTAAAGAAAGCAGAGTAAATGGCTGCTCATCCCTACAGTGTCTGAAGGAGTGGAAGGAGACAGGGCAGATCATCAGTTACCCCCGCAGAGATGATGGACTTTCTCCCCGATTTTGCTCATGTCCAATCTCCTTTTATAATTTTTTTCTTAGGCAGTTTGAGTGACTATAGTCAATAATGATTTTTGGGGTGATAGACAGATGACGTAAGCCTAAGGGTCGGGTCCCTGTGTTCCCGTAGGATGTTGCGTGTAAAGGCTGTGCTATTGCCATAGCACTCCATCCTTTGTTAATCCTATCAGTCTGTTGCTGGGAAGTCTCCCCATTTTGTTGAGGACTTTTGGGAAGCCACTGGGGTTTCTTTGTCCCTTTTTGTGTAACCCATTATCATCTGGCAATGGGTTTCTGAGAATGCCCCCACCAGGTGCTGAGGTGTTTCCCATAACTGATCAGGATGGTCATCATGGCCTTACATTGGTATAATCCCTTAAAATCTACATTCTGCTTACTCTATGGAAAGGTTGAACTTGTATCACCAGTCAGCACTCTTTCCATCTGATTTGAACCCTCAGAGAAGAGTGAAGCTATATGAAAAGAATAACGGGAGGGTTGCCAGTCCTGTTCCATTTTTAGACTCTCTTGACAAAGGGAACAAGCTGTAGTTTTGTCACTTAAATGACCATAAAACTGCAATATCACTTATTTTGTTGAGCAAAAGGTGCTGAAGGCTAATGAAGACAAGATGATATGTTAGCAGATTTTTAGAAAGTACATGGAATTTCAGACCAGGAATCAAATGATGACAGCCCTGACTATCAGGAAAGAAAAGTGGAGGCAGATCAATGTAAAAAATAGAATATCTGCAGATATTTGCATTTCCTTTCTCATAGCATCTATGCCTGAAACTCTTCTTATTATGCCACTTTTCAAACTTCAGGCACTTCAAGGTCTTGAAAATACCAGCCACTCCCCATCTCTACAAAGTCACAGTTGGAGCAGCAAAGCTGGAGTTGGAAGATTAAGGAATACCTACATGACAATTAAACTGCAAACCTATGCATAAACAAATACCACGTTTGAAACTGAAGCAACAGGCCAGCATATTTTATGTTGTGATTTTATTTAATAAGTTGACAACACTTAAAGGTGTGATGGCCACCTGACAGTGCTATTGACATGACAACTTCTCTGCCCCAGAGACCTTTCAGTGCAGTCACAAAGAGGCACCACATAACATAGCACAGGGAATAAAACAGGACAAGGTGTACAGCAAGAAGGATGCATGTGTGTTTTGATGACCCTATTCCCCTTTCTCCATCTATCCCCCTCCTGGCTGCTTTCTCTTGGGGCAACAGCCCAGTTTTGTCCTGTGTTTCACTTCCCCAGTTCTAACAACGTGAACCATAAAATCATAGCAAAATGACTGATGGAAAATATTTCCACATGGTCTTATTTTCTTTTGTTCAAGCCAGTGTCTGTGTAGACACAAAGAGAAAAATTCATGAACATCTACAGGTGTTTCCAGTTGTGCCAGAACACCTTATTACTCAATATCTGGAAAAAAACAGTGACTGACCATGGCTGGGTTCCTGTCCACACCTGTCACAAGCCAGAGAGATTACAGCACCCTGGGGGACAGTACACAGATTAACTCATCTTCAGGAGCAGAGCTTTCACCACCTGAACTCTTCTGGGACTTCCTCCAAGTTCTGTGATGGGAATGTTGGCTTTCAGGTAAAAAGAGGCCCTTCCCCACAATATCTTCCCTGGACAGGGGAAATCCCCTTCCCTGGGAATGAGATGGCAGTGTCCCTCAGCACCATGTTCACTCACTCCATGGTAAATTGGAGTGCCACTTCTTGCTCTGGCAGTGCTCCAGCTGGACTCAGCTGACCTGAGGACAATCAGCCCCACCACTCACACCTGCAGTGCCTACACACAGATTCACCAGGATGGGCAGCCAGGGGTTCACGGAGAAATCCCCAGGACTAGAGGGAGGGCAATGCCAGACTAGAGAGGACAGACAAGACAGGTCCAGAGCAAAGCAGGGGAACAAAGCCAAGCTATAACAAGACGGGGATGAGCCAAGTGCAACAGAAGCCAAGAAGCTCTGAGAAGCCACTCTGCTGCAGCCAGGATCAGCTGAAGCCCTCCAAAGGAGGCTTTCCTCCAGAAGTCCTGAGAGTGCTCTGCCATGCATGGGTAAGGACTGCTGCCCTTTCCCACTCTCTGGGAGGGGAGCTGCAGGTGAAGCTTGCAGTGACTCTGGTTTTGCCAAGCAGCCCGATATCAGCAGTGCCAGTGCTCCCAGGCTGTGTGAACAGACTTAGGGAAAAACATACAGCACAGGTGCTCTCTGAGGGAATTTGGAAAAATAACATCAGAATCCCCTCTCCAGTTCACATTGAGCTTCTGTGCTGGCCTGTGTCCTGGTCCCACGCAAAAGAGCATGATGCACTTCTCAGTGTGCAGCAGTTGCACACTTTCCAAGCCCTGGACAGGTTTGGGAAGCCACTCAGGCTCTCTATGGTGTTCCTCTACTTCCCCACTGTTTGTTACCATGCCTAGAACTGCACTGGCAGAGCAGTAGTTTGATTTCTTCTCTCATCCACTTCCAGCAAAGTCACACCAGTTTAGTTAGAGAAGCGAGGTGACAGGCAGGCACTTTCTTCCAAATTCAGCTGAAGAGATTTTTGTCTTCAGATGTCCCATTCCCTTCCCAAGACAAGTTATCACCCCATAGCGCAATGCTGGAATGGTTTGAGACAGTTAATAATTCATGTCAGACAAACTCCAAGCATCTACAACCTAACTGAGACTTGTGAGTAGACACTGTCTTACAATAAAGGGGTAGAGTTGAGGATAAAAACCATCTCAGCTTTCAGGTACACAAGTCTTTCTTCATGCCTGAAACAAAAAGAGCAGTTTTCAAAGGCAACTACAAGGAAAAACCAAAACAGTCAGAGTTCAGTATGTCACAGAATGGACCAAATATGTGTGTCCTAATCACTGTGCTTCACTTTAAGTAAAATAAGGCACACTCTCAGGAAGGAACTTCTTGGCACTGCATGGAGCTTTCCTTCAACGCGATGCTGAGCAGTTGCTGGTGGCAGCATTTGGTACAGCTGGAACTGGCAAGGCTGCCTAGTCATACCCTTATTCTCCTTTTTGTACACTATCCATTTGACTTGCCAAGATAAAGCTATTTAGAGATACAATAGGTTAAGAATGGAGTGTCCAGGGAAGGAGGGGAAGAAACTAAACACTTTAATTGAAGAAAACAATACTCTTATGCAGGATAACAGAAAACTCAGCACTGAGATATAAACTGGTTTGGTGCAAGCACAGCACACATGTAACTCCTCATGACACACACCTCATTACAGCTGACAGAACTACAACATGCCTCAAGGTGGTCACAGTGCAAACAACAAACAGAAAGGACTTCTATCATCTTTAATACACAAGCAAAGCCTACAGAGACCACAGTGTCCTGTCTCAATATAACTGGGTAAGTTACCACAGAGATATGTTCATATTGGAGACAAAAAACAGCTGCAAGTGTCTCTACAGCACTGTTGGCCAAATTTATCCTGTGGGTTACACTTGGCAAACTCTGATTTAAAAATCAAAGCAGGTACATTTTCCCCCCACTCTAATATTAAGTAATAGATTTATTGAATTGAGACATTACTGGCAATCCAGCAAGTGTGAAAAAAAGAGGGTACTTTTTAAAAATATACACAGCAGACAAATACATAAGACACAGGCCCCCAATTTCATCAGTACATTGGGGCATACATGCTTGCAACATGAATTCCATAAAGCTGTATTTTATACAGCTGCATTTTAAAAACTGATGAACAGGTGACTCTCCTTGGTGGCCTCCAAGATTCAGTTCAGTAGATTGGCAGCTACACAGTCACACAGATTTCTCTTTTCCACCTGAAGAAGCAGAGTTTCTGTCTATAAGAGAGGGGGAAAAAAGCAACATCAAAAAACAAGTCTCAGCACTGTAAAACTAATTAGGTCCCAAAGAAAAGTCCATTTTACGTTCATTCTAAGATTTGAAAGTGGTTGTATGAGATGAGGCTTGGGGTAAAAATCAGAGTTGTTTTTTACTGCTCTGCAAAATAATTTAGCTTTTGTGGGATTAATTGGCATACCAACATGGCAATACTTCTGTGACATGGAGAAATTCAGTGCAGTACACATTCATGTTTTTCACATCAGTCCATTCAGTATGTGTCTGGGTGCTGTTATTTTTGTTTAAAGTTATTTTTCTTTCTTACAATCTTACTTCAACAGCACAAACTGGAGCATAAGCTCAGACGTTCATTAGAGGCTTAAAAAGATCCCAAAAACCTGTCAGAAATTTTCTTTTACTTAGAAACAGACTCAAACATTAAATTTAGAATATTACAGGCTGGACTCACTGTTGAAAGTTATACAAAAAAAGTAAGGCATAATTTAATTATAGAATATCTCAGGTTGAACGGACCCATAAAGATTATGAAGTCCAACTCCCTGCTCCTCACAGGACTACCTAAAACTAAAGTGTATGACTAAGAGCATTGTCCATCATCCAGCCTGAACTCTGTCAGGCTTGGTGCCATGACCACTTCCCTTGGGACCCTGTTCCAGTGACTGACCACCCTCTCAGTGAAGAGATTTACTTCTGCTTTAACTTCTCTTGCTTCCCCATTGTTACTGTTGATGTGCCTGAAACAGGGGAGAGGTGCCAAGCTGGCCTACAGCCATCACAGCTCACACATGGGATGTATCTGAGAACCAGTCTGATCCAAGAGAGGACTTCCTCCTTATTGTCATGGGACACAGTAGCTGTGGGAAGTCCACTCCCCAAATTATTTCCTACTGCTGCAACCAGCTACGCAAAAAAAAGGGTATTATGGAGACTACCAGCTCTAAATGCCAATCAAATCCATCCTTAATCTTCCTGACTTGTGATTTTTGTATGAGATGGAATTTCCATGTGATAAAAGACTGTATTTTAAATCCTGTGTTATCCATTGACCCACATCAGCTAAAGGCACTTAGAGCAGAGACGGGCTGAAGCATCCTGCTTTCCACTTTCCTTCTTAGTGCAGGAAAAGCTATCTGCTGCTCAGGGGTTTTCCTCAGATGATAAATCACTAGACACAGCTCTGTGGTTCTATATTAAATCAGGAATCATTTCTGATCATTTCAGCTACCCTGCAAAGCTGGAAAGATCTGATCAGGCTTTGCTAATCATTGAAAAGACACTCAATCACCACACTCTCACCACCTTTTTGACATCATTTGCAATGGTTTGAATAAGGGAGGTTGACAGCATGCCAACATCTTTGGAGCTGAGGCCCAAGGCTGCTTACCATCTTATATACCTTTAATAACATTTTCAAGCCTTTATCTTATTTTCAGGGACATATCTAACTTAATGTGCTTTAAACATTCCAATAACCATTGACAATTTAGAAAGCAATAAAGAACAAAATGAATGGCACTGAATACAGCTTTGCTGACTGTTCTGAAAGCATGATCACAAAACTGTTTTCACAGAGTTTTGTTGTTATTCCCTGGTAGGTTAAGGCATGTTTTAAAAAAATAAAACTAAACCAAAATAAAAAAAAAACAACCAACCAAACAAACAAGAAAAAAACCAAACCAAACCCACCAAAAAAGTCAAACAGGTTCCAGATTCTAAACCTACAAAAAATCTGTTAAGTTCCAGCAAAAAATGCAGTTCCTGAACTTTTCAAAGTTGTAATGCCATGTCCACTGGTTAACTCCGAAAAATGAGCTGGAGTTCTAAAAATAACTGTCTACAGGGCAGACTTAGAGTGAACTGTGCAGCCCATGGACTGGATTTGTTTTCCAGGATTTGTTTTATGGCCGTCTCCCTGCTGGGCTCTGTCTTGAGCAGCTTCTGGTTGCTGTGGGGAGCTGGCTGTGAACTGGCTGAATGGTTGTGATGGCAGCAGCTTCCTCCCAGCAGTATGAGACCCCTCTCCCCAGTTCCTGATCAGAGCTGCACCTGCCACATACGGCACTTTGGCCAAGTGGTGAATCACAGATATCCCCAGAAAATGTTGCCAAAACAACTAATCCAGCCTGCAGCCTGCTCCAAGGGGCCAGCAGCAACAAAAGGGTGGAGAACAGTTACACAGAGGGGTAAACAGGTCTGGTATATGTATGGGTAGAAGCCAGACTCTCAAAGGTGGTCTGTGACCCTTCTCTTGCTGAGAGAGTAAAATCCAGCCAGCCTGACAATCAGTAAGGGATCTTCACATCAGTTTAGGTTACAAACACATCTAGTTTTGTAAAAGGAAGGAGATAAAGTCTATGGCCTCCCTAAAGGGGTGTGTGACACAGTTAGTTTGCTTTGTGAGACACCATGTAGATCAACACAGGGCCAAATTAAGTGTGAAAGCTCTTGAGCTGTGCAATAAAACTATATGGTTTCCCCTGTACAGAACTGCAGAATGAGATGTGCAGGAGGAATTAAATGACAAATTCCTCTCTTTTGGCAATCCTTGTTCCTCCAACACAGAAGCTGCTTAGTCATCTTCTAACAATCTTGCCTGCAAACAAAAGAGGGTTTTTCAGAAAATTAGTGTATCCAGTGGGAATATTAACAAAGGGAATTGTATTTTCAGGGACAGAAATATTTGCCCCACAAAGCAACAAAACAGACTAAAATAGTGAAATGTGAAATATCTATGTAGCTGAAAGGAACAGTCTTAAAACTCTCAGTTTGCATCAAATTGGGCCACAGCTGAATAATAAAAGTAAGAATTAAAATACCCTAGAAGGCTGTTCCAAGAAGTCCTCAACTATTAAATGTTTCCATATCTTTTGAAGATGTAGGCAGAACTCCTAGCTTAATGACTGGAATAGGCCTGTCCTAGTCCAGGGGAACTGAAGGAGCTCAATATGGATTCAACTCCTTAGATTTTAAAGTTATAAGAAAGTGAGAGGTTTGTTTTGGTGAGAATATATAATGGAGCCACATTTTCAGGCTTGCTGTCAAATCTACAACTGTGAAAGTTAATAGGACATTCATCTCAACTGACTTTTTTTCTATCCTCACTTTATCTCTTTTGCTTCTTTTACTTCTATTTTTTGAAAAGTATTAAAATAGAGTTGCTATCTTTGGGGTTCTTATGGCTACTCCTGCTTTGGATATCTGTGTTTCATGAAGTTTCTCTCTTATCTACAATCTGAAGGTTTTATAAAGGTCACTGCCATAGCCAGAGAGCCAGAGAAGATTTTAGGAGTTGAGATATTTTTGAATCAAGATGAAGAAATTCTGGTGAAAAGTTCAAAGGTTTGTAAAGGAAGGAAAAGATGTACTAGACCCACTTTACAGCACAATCTGAACATCTTGTTTGGGCTGTATACAGTGTTCAGAAGATCTATTCATTAGCAAGATTTCTTCATGAGACCCAAAATATATTTGACCTGTAATTATTGAACAGATTTTGTTTAACTGTAAATGTGTTACATACCAATCTGGTTCTGCTGGAATGTTTGTTTATCTTTTTGTAGTATGTCACAATTCAAGGCATCTTCATTCCTGCCCTTACATTTTCACTTAAATGTCAGGGACCCTGCTCGAAGTTACCTCAAACCGTTCTTCAAAGATGCCAGTTCACAGGCTTTGAACTGTGAACAACCTTGACCACAGATTAGAAAAACAAAAAAGTTTGAGTGCCTTCTGTTGAAAAATCTGTGCAAGAGTGTAGATATAGCACTTCAGCTAAAGGGTACACAGGAGGTGGGGACAAAGCCACCCTCCTGGGACACCTCCATCTGACAGCAGCTGGGACACAGCCACGCACAGATTGCAGGTTGCAGCAGCAAGAGAAAAGATTCCACTTCTCTCACAGAAGATACCAACTTTGGCAAATTCTGCACACTGACTACAAGCCAGACAAGTTTCATTCCCTGTGCTCTTCTACTTTGTGGCGGTTTTCATCATTATGAAATCGGAGAAATGTAAAAACTATCTACGGATGATGTTTCCTTCCTTAGCCTCTCCCCAGGGGTAAAAGCATGTGCAGGGGAGTATTTTATTTTAGTAGACTTTTTGTTTGGCTCCCTCCTTTTGGGTAATAAATATAAATGATACTTTCACCTTACGCCCCCTAACATAAAAACAAAGGTGTGTGCTCAGCATTTGGAATGAGAAGAGCAGCACTAATGGCTGTAACTTTGCATGTGAAGGATAGAGGGCTGAGGATGGTCAGCTCACTCCTTCCTGTATTTCCTGGTGTCCTGGAACCCCCAGGCAGAAGAATTCCACAGATTATTGCATAGAGAGGTGAAATGGAAATGTAATTAACCATCCTCACCTTAGAAGACAGGACAGTACAGTTCACTGAGTGCTTGTGCAAAATCCATCCACCTTATCTACTTTTATCCACAGCATATTCTTCTATATAAAAAAAAAGTAAAAAGAAAGAAATTTAATGTTTCCTTACCCGCGTGTCTAGGTTATATGCTGTCTTCTTTAAATCCTGCAGAGCCCTCTGCATGAACTCAAATGCATGGCAATCAACACAGGGACGGCCTAGGAGAGCATTTGGTAGAGCATTTAGTAGAGAATCATGACTATATGGCATGAAAAGTTAACTAGAAGGATTAAACAGTGATTTTGAGTATCTGAAAGAGCTACAGGAAAAAATCCACAGAGTCTATACTGATGTAGGTACCCTTGAACAATCTGGGTTATTGTAAATGGTCCATCAGGATGGTCCACCAAGTCTCTCAATAACAAAATAATTACTTCAACAAATTTGCACTAAAATTTTTCTTCCTCCTTTATTGCTGTGCCACTCTTCCTTGTCAGGGGAAAGTTCATATTATGAAAACACTAACCACATAACTTGAGTCTTTCATTTTGCTCCACTAACCTCAAACACATTTTCAACCTTATCTTCAGATTTTTCAGAAAAGACCTCTGAAGCCGTGAACCTGTTCCCTGGAAAAATCTTATCTCCTAATCTCACAAACTTGAGTTCTAAATAGAAAGCTAATGGAATAAAACTGTCTGCAATATCACAGACAGACCACTTAGCCTCTAACTTCGAATATGATAAAGCTTAGTCTAAACAAATGCCCTGTCATTAGTGGGCATTGCTGATAAGCAGAACTGCTGCAATCTGGACTCACTGCACTGTTTAAGAGAGCATTCCCAGATCCAGACACCCAGACTGAAGGCCACATCATCATGTGGATCATCATGTAACACAAAACTGTGCCCCAACAGATAGCAGTACCGAGACAGAACAAATATAGACATGATGAAACGTCTTTGAATCATCAGGCTGTACATATGTTCTTATTTCCCTCTCAGTGGCTGAGCCTTGCTGACAACTTCACTGGAAATACTGTGCAAGTGAGAAATTCTGAGTGCAGGTTCAGTTTGCTCTCTGAGGTCTGGTAAGGAAGAAGGGATGAAACCTAGACTGATGCTGGAAAATCCTGCAGTGTCAGCCCATTTTGCAAACACTTGATGTTGGACTGATTACTACATGCCTCTAATAAGCTGGAGTATGAGCTTCCAGCTCATGATCTGTGTGCTAACCAGCAAACAGAAATTTTGCCTGCTGGAGGAAAGGAGCCTGCCAAATTCTTTAACCGGCTATGAAAAAAGAGAAAAAGAGATAGAAAAAAACATAGAGCAGTATTACAGACCTACTCTCTCATTGCTGTACCATCACCCAACTTTAGTGTTACTATATTCGCACTGGACAAAAGTTGATGTTTTCACATCAACAATTTCAGCAGCTTTCACATCAACAACTTGATGCAAAGACTTGTCATTATGTTTATGATATAAAATAAACTCAATACAAATCAGCAAAGGAGAATTAGGTGTTGAAGGCCACAAGGCTAGGTGTTTAAAAAAGTTTTCTCGGCATCTTTGTTGTGGATTTTTTAAATAAAAATAATGACTTTAATATAGCAAACATTCTCAAGAATGAAATATAATGAACAACCAATGTTGGTTGAAAAAGGGTAAGTTCTCAATAATGTCTCTGAAAAGCAAACAAGGTGTTTCCTGGCATAGAAAGGGCTAACACATTGAAAGTGATATACAAAAGAAAAAGTGCTGAACAGTGGCAGATTTCAGGTAGAAGCAAGACAGCAACGGGCAAAAGACAAGGATAAGACAGTGGAGAGCCTTGGATGCAAGAGCAAAACAGCACTGGTATGCTATCAAGTTGTGGTTTTAAAACAATATAGCCAAGACAAGTCCAAAATAGTTTGAATTATGTGGACAAGCTTCAGTGATGTGAAGTTCTGCAACATGGAAACTACAGTAGGGGCTGTAGGGGAGGGCTGCAGGGTGGTACATACTTTCAGCTGGTATGGCTGTTCCTGCTTCTTGATCAGCTCTAACAGGGTCCATGAAGAGTAGTACAACCACAAAAACTAAAGGAACTGTAAAGATGGCTCTTCTCAGAAGGCAGGGTGGCAGCATCTTGGGAGTGGGTGCTTCTCTGTTTATCAAGAGAAATAAACAAGTTAGTGAGGAACACTGTGGATACAAGGGTTTTGTTACACAGAAATTAATGTTCCCGAAGGCTAAAGCATTGGCAGGCTTCCTCTGAAAGAAAACAAAATAGCAGATCTAGAGCATGGACAAAACTGTTCTGTACTTTTCCAGCAGTGCCAATAAATCCCAACTGGGAAAGAACATCCCTAGACATGAAGGACAAGATCAGAAGTCCCTATTCAGTTTTTGGTTTCATTTGCAAGCTGGGATGCCAACAACTTTGCCTGCTCTGTGACTTTTTTCTAACTACACAGTCCTAGACTAGCTGGTCTGGAGAGCTAGACTAGCTGGGCTTGGAGACCAAAACTGCAGGGATTACAGAGCTGGCTGAAACAGAGCAGAACCTGGAACTGAGCTCTTTACCCTCTGGCTTGCTTTACTGATGCACCATTTTTTTCACAAAAATAATAACTAAAGGTAACCATTAGCATTACACACCACACTGATTATAAAAACTTACTCCTTTATAAAAGTAGATAAAGAAAAGCCTTTTGTTAAACCTCCACAAATTCACAGGTAGAACTTCTAACAGCAAACACATCAAAACTCTTTGACCTTCTGTTTCCCCTCCTAATCTGGGTTTCAGACTGTTATTTGCAGCCATCCGTTTGTTCCTGAACACCACAGCCAGGCCACACCATGCCCTGAAGCTGGCAGAATCTGTCTCAGCAACAGCTCCCCTTCACACAGTGGTAACTTTTTTTAAAAGTACACAGGTTTCAAATTAAGTAGTTTCTTGACCTGACAGGTAAACTGTTCAGATCAAGAGGGCCTGGCTCAAGCTGCAACAATCTATTAGAGATTTCAATCCAAGCATCAAGGATTCTGGCAAACTGCTAAAGAGGTCCTTAGGTACCTTTCGTTCCTGTACATTCAAATGGAAGAAAGAAAGAATCAAATAAGACTTAAGTTATGGCAATACAATAAAAGTCACATGAAAAATATCTTCAGCTAAACGTCAGAAAGCAGGACAACGTTCTGCCTCTTTCTGATTTTTAAGCTGGTGCACACTAAGCAAAAGATGTTGCGTAAGAGCACCAAATCTGCATGTACTGAATGTGAGAGTACAGCACTCCCTAGAACAGATTGTATTTCACATTTAGAAAGGCAGTAGAGGGAGGCAAGAAAGGAAAGGGTTTTCCCCATCTTGCCACAAACACAGAACAGAAAAAGCTTGCTCTTCGATCTATGCAATCCACCTTTTCAGATGCAGCTACTCTGAAACTGTAAATTCTGCACAAACACTTGCAGCATGTGCAAACCAGCAATTCATCCAGGAAAGGAGCAGCCTTATACACATCTCCTTCCTGTGCACCTCAACCCAAACATAAGATAGGGAGTGGTTCAGAGGCAAGAGACAAACATGTACGTGTAGAGTCACAGATGTATTTGAGCACACAGAAAGAAAAAGATCTGGTAATGTAATTTCTATAACCTCATAACTGGGTTTCCCACCCCACCCACTATTTAAATCTGATGTGATCCTTTTTCTTATTTCTACAATCATTAAAATAAAGGGATTGAAATTATAACAAGTGGCTTGGGTTTTCTGTTTTAATTAATGGTGATCTGCAATCAAAACCAGTAGAATCAAAGTCTTTGCAACAGGATGCAGCAGTGTCTCCAAGTAACAGTAAACTAGGATAATACCAGCCTCTTTTGAAAGTACCTGATGAAGAAGCCTCCTGATCAGTAGGAGCAGAGGCTATTCTCATAGTTGACTGAGTACTACAAAGGTTCATCAAAACAAAGCAGGCATGCCGGTAAACTTTTTAGGGTACCTTACACATCACCCACCCCAGAGTCAGCTCAGCTTTGTATGTGAGCCCCACAGCAAAACAATTGTTCCCCGAGTGCAGCAATCACCTTAAATCACATCTGACTCCTGCCTCTTAGTTATTTCATGAAAAATGGCAAGGAATAATCATGACAGGCTTCAAGGGTGGTCTCTCTCTGCAGTGCAACTGGGAATGGAGATAGATCTGTGCATGGACTACTGTGAAAGAGAAAAGTCATCCCCTCTAACAAAGGAAAAAATATCAGTACCTGATCTTTCTCTTGTCTTTGTGATGGTTTCTTTGAAATGGCCGCTGCAAACTGCTAAGAGAACAAGTACAGCATTTCTGAGCATGTGCACTGTCTCTTTTTAACCTTCCCTGAAAGAGGTTATTACTATGGGGAGATTTCTGCCATGGCAACAATGCAGAGCACTGCAGCACACAGTGCAGATTTAAAGAGCCACAGGCTGTGTCTCCCAGGTCTGGGGAAGGATGTTTCTGGTTTGACATGCAAGATCCAGTAGTGACTTACCTGCTCTGGGTAAGGTTTTTAGAGCCAAGCCATTTGATCCATCTCTGCTGAAGTCTGCTGAATGGTTTTCCTGAAGTCTGCGCAGCTGGATGTCGTGTCTGATTCAAGCAACTTGCTTCCCTAGAGCCTGAAAATAACCATGACAAACTACACCTGCTTTATGTGAAATGAGGACAAACCATGGGATTGCACTCAGGAGTTGTTTGGTGCACTGTCGATCATTTGAATGGTTCTGAGTTACAGGGGTCTTAAGCACTCCTGCCTGCTTTCCTGGGAATTTCTGTGATTCCAGTTCCAGGGTTGTTAGGAGCACATGCAGGAGTCCAGGCACTTAAACTCTAAATGGGAACTCGAGTCTGAACTCAGAGTAAACTTCACCCCTATTTTCCAGCCTGCACCTCTGTTCCCCTTTCAATGCCCCATGAGCTGTGCTCCAGGACAACACTGACAGCACTTGAGCTGAATGCAAAAACATAATGAAGTGCAGATTATAAAAGTGCTTTTGTCTAAGCAAAGCTAAGTTCAGGAGTTGCATCACACACATCCCCCCCAAAAACCCCACATTTCCCATCACAAATTAAACACTAGCAGTTCTTGTTACAGAGAGAATGAACCCAGCTGAGGGCAGGCACAGCACTGAGGAGCATGCACAGGACTTCAAAGGGACTGTGCACTGTGTTTGCTTTAGCAGGTTCAGTGGGGACTCAAATCTTCAATGCCATCACAGTGAAAGTTGGGGGCACTCCATGTCCAGGAAGGTCAGGCACACAACCTTTTTTCTTTCATGATCAGAAAGTCTTTTGCAGAATTATGACTAAATTGCTGGCTAACATTCTTCTTTTCAACATGCTCTATAACCTGTCTCTCCTGTACAGCCCTAGAGGAATGGTTTGCTCCCATTAATTCAAGTAAGTAAGAAGCTAAAATGTCAGGTTGTTCAGTGTGTAACTATGCTGCTATATGAAGTTACAGCATCCATAAGCAGAGTCAAGAGGGAATTAATTATAGTACTGGTATCCTTACACATCACAAAAAACAGAAGGCAGGGTAAAATAATTTTTAAGACTGTTCTTTTGGGAAAACAAGATTTAGCATTGCTCTTGCAGAGATAACCATAAAGGATTTGGTTTGATTTAGTATCTGCCTATACACAAATTATAAATGCAGAACTTTATTCATGGTCATTCTCTGCCCTCTAATCTCACACCTTGGCCTCTCTTCCTGATAAATAACATAGATATTCATATAGACACACCCCCCGCAGACATGTATACCCCTCTCTCTCTCTATATATATATGTCTTTTTGTAATGTGATCATTCCCAGTAAATCTTACTCTGTTCTCCTGAATCCTGTCCTTTTTCTATCACAACAGTAACACCAAGCAGTCAACTCTGGTACCTCGGGTGTTATCATGGATTCATTCTTCTAGAAACTTGCAATGGGCTTCTGACTCCATTACTTAAAATTATAAAAATCCATTTCTGCCATTCTCAGATGTCAAATTGCTTGCTCTAAGCATCTCATACAAGGTACCAGAATGTCCTTTCTTTAGCCTTGTCTTAAATCCTGCATGGAACAACTTCTATTTTAGTGTTTTAAAGACATTTCCTCTTAATTCACTTTTCTCCACTCTGCACTATGTTAAGCACTGTTTTTTTCTCTTCACTGAAGTTAAAATTTTCTTAGCTGGAAAATATCAGTTCACCAAGGAGGAGGTCTTCCACAGAAGAGTTAGAGATCCCATTTTGGGATATTTTTCATACAATCATAGAATGTCCTGAGTTGGAAGAGACCCACAAGGATCATCTAAGTCCATCTCCTGGACCTGCACAGGACAACCCTGAGAATCCCACCACGTGCCTGAGAGCATTGTCCAAACACTCCTTGAACTCTGTCAGGTTTGGTGCTCTGACCACTTCCCTGGGGAGCCTGTTCCAGTGCCCAGCCACCTTCTGGGTGAAGAACCTTCTCCCGATACTCAAACTAAACCTCCCCTGACACAACTTTGGGCCATTCCCTCAGATCCTGTCACTGGTCACCACAGAGAAGAGATCAGTGCCTGCCCCTCCACTTCCCCTTGTCAGGTTGTCGAAGATGGCAGTGAAGTCTCCCTTCAGTTTCCTCTTCTCCAGGCTGAACAAGCCAAGTGACTTCAGCTGCTCCTTGCACGGTTTTCCCTCCAGGGCCTTCACCATCCTCGTGGCCCTCCTTTGGACAATCTCTAACAGTTTCATATCCTTCTTATATGTGGTTCCCAAAACTGCTCACAATATTCAAGGTGAGGCCGCCCCAGTGCAGAGCAGAGCAGGACAATCCCCTCCCTCAACTGGCTGGTGATGCTGTGCCTGATATCCCCTAGGACATGGTTGGCCCTCCTGGCTGCCAGGGTACACTGAAAATTTTATTTTGAAAATTTTGAAATTTTGAAAATTTTTAAATTTTTATTTGAAAAATTATTTGAAAAATATTATTTGGATAATTTTCAGATTGATAATTTCTGGCTTTCTGCTTGAGAATTATTTTCTTTTTAAACTAAGCTTAACAAAGTAAAAATATATTACAGAGTCTGTTCATGGGACTGCAGAGTGGGAGCAGCTCTCATGTTAAAGATATTTAGGCACATCCCCAACAGAACATTACAACCCAAAAAAAAAAAATCTTTGCTTCTCATATTTCCCTCAAGCACAAAGCATGGGTCATACAGATGCTAGCCCAAGGGCACCTGAAAACTGGAAGTACAGACCAGGATTGGGACTACACAGCACCTGCACAACAGCCTTCAGTGGTGATTTCACTGGTGTGCCCCAAGTTGCAGTGGTGGGTATGAGGAATCCATGGGATGAGCGTGAAAAGTGACATTTGGGTGAAAGCTGGAACATGCTGGCTCCCCAGCTGCCCTGGGGGACCATTCATGAGGAAAGCAGAAAGAATTTATAGCTTCTTTTCTATAATAAAGCTGAACACAATGGATTTTTTTTCAAGATTCCCACCAGCTAAAAAACATCAAAGCGCTGTTACTGAGATTTCATTTTTTCATCTCGATAGCACATGTTTTGATACTATAAATATTTCTGTGGGATTGGGAGAAAAGCTCAAGCCTTTACCTCTAAGCCTCTTCACTGCTTGGTATCTCCTTGGTTCTTAAATCTAATACTCTGTCACAGCAGAAAACTTTCTTCCCTCACTAAAGATAACAGATTCTGTCATTTCTCCTGGAGACACTTTTATGTTTTCTCACAGCCTGCCCTCTAAATCATGGTAAAAATCTCCCCGCAAGGTGCCATCTTGTCTTCCATCAAATCCTCTTTTATGCTTTACCTCTGCCACGAATCCCAGGAAGTGCCGCTGGCCGGCAGAGCCTGGGGAGGAATCTGGCTGGGGCTTCGGGCGGCATGCAAATGTGTTTGTCACACCAGTATCTCCCTGCCTCACACCTCCCGATGAGTCCCCCCTCCTGATCCTGCAGTAATCCCGAGCTGTGATAGCTCGAGGGCAGGGGCTGTGTTTGCACTTGTTGGCGCAGCACCACAAGGCTGGAGTGTTGATGGAGGCCTCCGGGCAGATGTGATGAATTAATAAAGACAAACTACCTAAAGCTGATCTCATTCTCACCCCACTCTGATATAGGAGCTATTCATAGAGCAAGCCTCTTATTCTTTTCCTCACAATGTAAAGCTCTTGGGACGTGTCAGAGTAACCAGATTAAGAAATGAAGTCTGCATTTGTTCCCTGAACAGGTCTCACCTACTTTGGTAGCAGCAAATAATCACAATTGTTCCTTCTTCCATTTTCCCCACCAGTAATTTTAGGAATAATTTCCTTGTCGGGAACTCCAAATCCTGCGGTTCCCATCTGTCAGGGTATGGATCGCCTGAAGTCATTTTAGGACCCAAAAATCTTGCATTTCAGCACAACACTAAGGCTGGGCTCACATCCAAGTCTGGCTTTTCCATACAGCTCTCAGGGAGATCTGCACTGTCAGAACTGCTTACTGCTTTTTGGATGAGATGTTGAACCGGGGTCATAACTTTCCGCATCTCTGCAGGAGCTGAGAAGCATTTAAAAATCCCATGGCGATATTCAGGAAGGGTTAGTGTTAGCTGAGCTATCCTTGGCTTGCGCTGTCCCTATCCACCCTCCTGCATACACAGCTTTGGGGAAAAAAGCTGCGTTCCAAGCTGTGCTTGAGCTATTTCAGGGTACATAAGAGCTGCAACTTTAACTAGTTTGGGAAGTCCACAGGGATGTCTTGAGTACTCTGCAGCAACTAGACAAATATATAGGCACATGAATGGGCTTTGAACTGGAGGGGAACAAACCACTACCTTCCCAAGCTTCCCAGTCTAGAACCAGACTTTAGAGTCCAGGGGTCTCTTCTAACACAAGTGGCCTAGGAAGGTAAAGAGAAGATCTCTCAGCTGAGAAGCAATGCACTGTTACCCAGGTTCCTGGCAAAGGATGCTTGGAAAATAAAGGAAGTGAGATTGCTAACATTGGAAGTTTATTGTTGACCCTTTTTTTCACCAAAAGATGTTTATTATCCAAAGTCTGTATAAGGGCTCCCAAACTTCAGAAATCAGAAGACCCACATTCAGAGGGCTCCAGATCCATTCTCTGCTCTAGGAATCAACTCCTCCACAGCTAGGAGACTGATCCAGGATGACTTTTATGACACTGATACTTGGATCTCATTGATAATCAATATTCTGACATTATAATCTCTATGATTTAATTCTGTAAAGTTGGATCCACCTTCATACATTTATGTTTGAAAACTGCCTCTCTAACCTGGGATCATGTTTATGAGAGATTTGCAAGCTGACAGATATGACTTCTCCTTTTTGCAATTTTTTTCTCCTTTCTACAGTGACAGTGCTACAAATTGCAAACTGATTAGTGCAGTACTACACTGATGCTGCACTAGCTGTGACTGCACAGTTTCCAGCTAAAAGCTTACTCATGTCTGCCTTCAAAATATCTTGTAAATTAATTCCTCATTTGTGATCAAGGGATGTTTTTAGACTGAGGCCAAAGACAAATAAGCAATTAATATTCCTTAAGTATCATTGTAGTGGCCATAGTCTTGGCTGAAATCCTGGAACACAGACCAGAACCACC